ACAATTTGATGCGAAAAATGCGCATGATGGCAGCCTCTAAATGTTAGAGTGCACAAGGGATGTCACCACTAACTAATCCGAAGGTCTTAGACACAGGTTCAAGTGACTGGCTAGGGTCTTGGACATGGTAAAAAAAGCTTTTTAGGTGGTGGAAGTATTCATAGCACAAGGTTCCACAGTTCCAAACCCAACACATTCACAGCCAATCAAACCAGTAACTTTCTTTCTGCCATTCTGCATTACTCAAATTCTCTAGAGCACAAGAGCGAAGGAGGTCACAATAATGTTAGTATTTCTAAGCCGGACTACTAAGAAACACCACTTAATGAGCATGATTCAGATTTTTGGTAGTTGCTCTCTTTTGCTTTCATTCATTTTTTTTTTCTTCTTTTCCTTTTTTTTCATTTCTTGAAAGAACCACCACCTCTACACATTTCTCAAATACACGCCCAAATTTTAAGCATTACCTCCAACCCTCACATTATATTTAGCAGAAACAGCAGAGAACATGCAAAAACCACTCTGTGGAACCTTCTAAGAGATGCAAAAGGGTGATTTTCCATTGTATACCGAAAGAAAGGAAAGTAAATGGCTCAAAGGGGCTGACTAGGGGGTATGACACACCAGACAGTCAATTTGGTCATGGGCTATTCCTATGCCTCCATAATCTTAGCTAATGACAACGTGAATGCTACACATCATGGAAGAGGGATCTATCGCACAAGAAAGAAACGAGCAGACTCAAATCTCACATGGATACCTATATGCTCTATCTCTCATATTGATTCCCTGAACAAGATGCATAAACGACTGTCAAGAGCAAGTGATCAATCCAAGTCACAGTTGGTAAGCAAACAGTTGAAAAACTAAACCCCTACACAACTCTACTGCACGTCTCAGTCATCATATAGGCTGTCCTAGTTACAATCAAGTTGTCATGCATTAATTCGAAAGCCATTCGATTCACCAATCAAACCCACAGTGCCAATATGATCATGCAAACCTCAGTACTTGGAGCCCTCAAATCTCGAGATTTGGACAGCGGACTAGGCTCCAAGTACACATATATAGATTCCAACCAGTACAAAGTAACCCCCCCCCCACACTTAAGTTCGACATTGCCCTCAATGGAGCAGAGGGAAAGATAAGGGGAACGATGTTACCGGGAGGAAAGACTGTTGGGGGACTGGAAGTGGACCAGTCAGCGGGAGACAGACGGAACGACGGAACAATTCTGCACAAAGGGAACATAAAGAACACACTAGCACACTGTGTGTTAGGGATCAGAGTTAGCCCAGATGGCCACAAAACGGACAATCCACAAAGGAAGGAAAAAGAAAAAACACACAAAAGACTCAGTTCAACCTCCGCACACACATGGAGCAAACAAGAAAAGTCCAAAACAAAAAACACACTCGAAAGGGCGACGAGTACAGACTACTCGAAAGGGCGACGAGTACAGACTACTCGTCGCCAAGGTTGTCAAGGTCGATGTCGTCCATGAAGGCATCATCACTGGCTGGCGTGGGTGGAAGTGGAGAGTCCTCCCAGGGAGTCCTCCAGACTGGCTGCTCGCCAGGTATCAGCTGGAGCAGGTGCTACTGGACCTCCTGCATACGGCGAGCTCGGGCCCGCTCCCTCTCGATGTGAGCAAGGGTCACCCCCTGCTAGGCCTCCATGCGGTCGAGGCGCTCATCATATGCAGCCTTCCGGGTGTTATACTCGGCCTGGTGAGCCGAGTACTACTGCTAGAACAGGAGATGATGGTCGAGGAGCTTTTGATTCTGGAGGTTCAGCTGTTGGAAATGGTGAGTGAAGTAATCCTGGGATGGAAATGTGGAGCTACCACGCCCATACTCAAAGGTGGTCTGTTGAGGGCGGTGTGGGCGGCAGCAGCGTCCACATCATCGGGGTGGACATCCTTAGTGGAAGCATCCTCAGGAACTGCGGGCTGATCCTACGCAGGGAGGCGTGGAGTAGGAAACCCCACAATCCACTTGACGCCATGCTCAACTCGCAGCAGGTGCATCTTCGAGATCGTGTCTTCTCCGAAGACACAAGTGTCCCCCCTGCTCTATGCAATCCTGATATGGGATATGGAAATAGGCTGCCAGGCGGGTGATGAGTGGGGTGCAGTTGAGGGTCCCCAGATTAATAGCACTCTTGTCCAGAGTCCTTGCCACCACAGACCCCAGGTGGAGATCATGGTTCCCCGGCAACGGCGCCAAAAACTTGACACGCTAAAACACAACACCAAACTGCGTCCAAGTGTAATCGCAGTCCGAAAATGCAGTAAGTGGCAAGCTCTATTTGTCAACCCGGGGTCTAGATCTACTGCCTACTCCGTGATTATCTATTATCTAGCAAACTAAGTCGAGTGATTGTGATTTTAACTAAAAGCAGTAAGAAAGCAGGAAATGGTTCAAAGTTCTTTAGCAAGGGAAGAGTCACTCGGGAATGAGTCCCCCTAGCTCCTTAGTTAGGTCAAGGTTGTAACTACCCTGGGTTGATTAACTGTTATTAAACTGCGGAAGATCCGACAGTAGCTTGGAATCTCTAAAGCTGACCGAGCCCTCTCAGACAGACTAACCGGCAGGCGACTAGCCTTCACCGGGATAGACTGCTGAGGCAATAAACACAGAACTCCACTACTGGAATTGGATTCCAGTACAAAGTAGTAAATCAATTAACTCTCGTATAACCAATCTACCACTACCGATTGATGAAGCTCTAACAACCTAATCAGATCTATCTATCTCAGGTTGCAACAGAAATAAAAAAGGATGATCAGACTTCCATTGACTCAATGAATCATGCATCAATCGATTATAACCAATCATTATATCAATCCCAAGTCATTACAATCAAGATTCCTAACACATGGAACTAGGGTTCTTCATACCCAAGTGAGAGAAGGTTCTACTCCGTAGAGAGAGAGAGGAAAACAGAAATCAGAGTAGTCATACTCATAAAGATAAGGAAAATCTGCTTTGGGATGTCGATCTTCACTCATGGGGATGCAATCTGGGCTTCAATGGTGAGAAATCCACTCCAAATAGCTCATAGGGTTTGTTCTTCGCACTTTCTCTCTCTAAAGCTCTGTTTTTTACTCAAAAACTCGATTCCCCCTTCTTAGGCTCGAAATTGGGTTAAAACCCTGACTTTCCCGACCACACGCCCGTGTGGATTCCCAGTATGCCCGTGTGAGAGCCAAAATGCAACGTCTCAATTAAGTGCCTCCACGATTCCTACACGGCCAGAGCTGCACGGCCGTGTGGAAAACTAGCTTGCCCGTGTGACTTCCCTGGAATTTCCAAACGGCCTCAAGGGACCCAGTAAAAGGCCAGTGTGGTCTTGCCCGCGTAATGGGATTCCACACGGCCACGCCACGCGACCGTGTGATTTCCTCAGCTTTTCGCCAAACGTCCAACTTTCGTCCAATCTACCCTGAACTCGTTCCAAACCTCCAATCACGTACTAGGACCTGTAATATCACAAACAAGAACAACTTAGCATGAAATCGGCCTAAGATACGAGAAATGAGGCTCAAACGACATAAGAATCATGGATAAAACATGTGTATATATCATGTCATCAGTTATTTAGTAGAATTTGTTTACCATCGATAACCTCCATAAGCTCTTGTCTGGATGGTTGAACATCCCCTATTTCACTGATTGCTCTACTCTTTTGAGTCTTCTCGTCCTTCTGACTTGCAGGGAAAAATTCAACTCCTGTTATGACACTTTCACCCCAATAGTATGCTTGAATGGTGTGAAGTTCACGATCTCCAGCCTCTTTCTTGGGGCTCCAATTGTTTGAGCCAAGAAACTCCATAGTCCAAATCCCAGTGGCACCAACGCTAGTGCCTGTTCATATTTACCCCTATCCCTTACAAAGAAGGACTCGCAAGTCTATGAGGAGTAGTTCGTTCACCGAAGATCAAGTCACTTGTCATTATTTTAGAGATAAAGTATGTAAGCTGCCAGAGAGAATCATAACTCCTAAGATGTGGCCACCTTCCCGAGATATATAGTAGTGAGGTTCAATTACGGAGACAAGTTTTGAGGAGTGGGGTCCGAGGACCCCACTTGGCAAAAAATTAGGGAAAAAATCTATGAGATACGTAGGTTTTAGCAGATCCTTCAAATTTAGGACCCCATTCTATCCCTAATTTTATCTATACTTAAGGACCCCAATCAACTCAAACTCTATTAAAGATATAGATTTTAGCATTACAAATTTTAGGATCCCAGTTAACGTAAAGTCTGGCTATGCCACTAGTGAGGTTCTAGACATCGCTCCTCCATCTTGTTCAGTCTGTATAGTAGTATTTAGTGCTTCTTATCGATCCTGGTTCGGGCGCTCTAACTAGGGGTGACTATAAGTACCGATTCGGTTAAATTTGCCTAAATTGATCTGGTCTCAGTCCGGCCTTTTCGGAAATATAAGGACGAAAGATTGAATTGGATACAGTCCGGTCTTGATCCATTCCGGTCTTGACCCAGTTCGGTCCTCATTCGGTCTTGATTTTAGATTGATCTTGTGGGAATTTGAGTGGCTTGAGGCCTCAAAGTGTGAAGAGTTGGTTAAGTTTTGGGTGTTGTGTTATCTTAACCAGTCTTTATCCCATTTTCGGTCCGGTACCGAACGATTTTTTTACCTTAAATCTAAACCTGTAGATGGGATTAAATTATTTGCTATCTGATCCCAGTCCGGTCTCAATCCGGTTTCGGATCAAAAAGCCGGGATCAAATAGCCTCTAACAACGAAGTACTGTTATAAAAACAAGTGCATGACGTATATTTCCTTACCCGGTGCCCCGTGGTTCATATGCCTTGCTGAGCACAGCCTGGCCTTCTTTGATGTCGGCTGAGCTTTTCGGCCCACCGGTCAATTGTATGCGCCTAATCTCATAACGGACCCAAGAAGAAATTTCAAGAGTTCAAAATTCATTGTTGCGCCGAATAGTGTAATGCCTAAACCAAAATCTATATGAGTTAGTCTGCTGACTTGGAAAATTAACCATGTAAGTAATTCAATTCATGTTCCCATAAAGAAATAGTACTGCAATCATCACAGATCAATCAACTTCCAGAGCGGTAGATTTAGGATTCAGGCAATCCTTAAAGTCACCACCAATGTAATCAACCAACAATTCAACTCAAGTTCTTAAGCATATAATCAAAGACAACCTAGAGAAGCATCTACTGCCTGGGGCTGTAGTAGATCGCACAAGTTCACCACTGCCTTAAATGCACGCATTTGCACTTTTAGCTGTGTAATTCAGAGTTCACCGTCCCACAATTCCTCAATGTTCTTGTATGCGCCGTAAGTCTCGTGAACGAATCCAGTTCCCTTCAAAAGCCTCGCCTGCAATGAAGACATCAACACGCATATCAGGATAAGATAAGAAGGTGCAATACTTAGAACACAAAGAGTAAAAGAACTCCAATTAACTTGCCTGTTCAATTTCAGCGAATTTAGCAAATAAGTCGTCAGGGATAGACCAGCCGTGGACTTGGGCGTTCTCCTTGATCCTTGTTTCACTTGTACTCTTTGGCAGCACACTATGACCCATTTGCAGGCCCCACCGCAGTGCCACCTGTGCCGGAGTTTTCCCGAGCTTCTCTGCAACACTGGTCAGGATTGGATTGTTGAGGACATCCCCCTTGATCCATGTGGTTCCAGGAGATCCCAGTGGAGAGTACCCCTGAAATTAAGGCACATATGTATGTGAAAAGTCCAATTGGTATCCTTGAAATGTATAACAAAATGAACACACTACTCACTGATAGGTGAACGCCCTTGGAGTGACAAAATGCACGTAGTTTGGGCTGCTGCCATGCTGGATGGCATTCCACTTGGTTCACCGCAGGAGGTACACGAGCCAACTCCAACAGAGCTCCCAGTTTCTTGATGGAGAAGTTACTGACCCCAATAGCACGAGCTTTACCTGTATCATAGAGTGCTTCCATTGCTCGCCATGTGCTGGGGATGTCTGGTTGAACAAGGTTCTCCGATGCAAACCCAGCAGCTCCTCTCTTCATTTTCACTGGCCAGTGAATCTGTGAAACATATAATGCTCGTTTAATCTATTGGCCAGCTTACTTTCATGAATCGAAAACATTGGTCTTTTCACTAGTAAAAACCATAGAACGTGAAATGGAAAGTATACATTGGCCCCGCGTCAACAAGTAAGTAACATTGACCCACTGAAGCTCAGTTCTTTTCTCTAGCAAGTGGAATTTCTAATTTCCTGATGACTGGCTACCACGGCTCAAGATAGGGTGCATAACCCATGGTTATGCACCTATCAATAACTAAATCTGGACCCTTCATTTAGAAAATCTAGATCTAAGGATGGAGAATTAAAGACCATTTTTATTTTCATTAGTTTTCTTAATTGACTCATATCTTTTTCGTTTTAACTCGGATTTTAATTTTTTTTGCACAGATGGAACGAGTTCATCATGCTCTACAAAATGAGATCAATTTTTAATATTTTTTGAGGAAAAAAAAAATTCTGGCCTTTCGGTACCAACTGCATACCATATGGTATTTTCTTCGTTTTTCATTCGTTTTTGAAAACGTTTGCACAGCAGGGACGAGTTCATCATGATCTATTGGATCTACAAATTTCTGGGTGAACAAATTACAAGACCAAAAAATATCACACAATACCATACAATACCACCCTGGTACGGGGTGGTATTTTATGGTATACAATGTTAAAAGTCGTAAATGACAATTAATATACTTCTACTATCATGTATTCAATCATCCTACAGTCTTGGTTTGTGCCATACCACCATGGTACGCTTTTCAAATCATAGGTATGCTCTTATTTCAATACCAGTCAATACCATATGGTATAGACTGGTATAAAATGACTCAATTTTTTTTGTTCAAAAAATATATCAAAGTGGATATCATTTTGAAGAGTACAATTAATCTGATCTAACTGTGCAAAAAAAATTAAATTTCGACTTAAAACGAGTGAGAAATCGTCCGTCAAAGATTAAAGAGGGGAAAATTAAAGGCTTTCCAGGAAAGAGAGTATGCTGATGTCATGCTGATGTGGGCGGGTTACTCATAGTTACTCACCATAAAGTTACTGACCTGATCCATTCCCGGCTACCACAAATTGATTAAGTTAAGTAGGCTAGTAATCCGAGCAAGCCTAAGTAGAGAATTTGTGGGTTTGACAAAGGGTGCTGATTAGTTGCAAAAGCGAAGGTACCAAAGGAAGGAATCCACTGATGGGTTTGCTTAAACATCGACAAGCATTTCAAGTCATAAGCGAATAAGAAAGGAAAATAAGGAAATCAAGAATCGAAATGAGAATGGAAGGAACACCACGTACAAGATAGAGATCAACATAATCAAGCTGTAGCTCTGCCAAAGTGGTTGCCAGTGCTACTGGAACATCTTCTGGATCATGAGCGTTGCACCTGTTGCTCGTTCACGGTAAAATAATACATATATATGTGTGTTTTTTCCAGGTAATTGGATCCAGCAAACAAAGAGGCAAGAACAGTAAGGGCAGGTGATTTCCCCCAGTGAAGTATAAAAAAAGAGGATCGGACTAACCAGAGCTTTGAGGTAATAAACAATTCCTCGCGCTTCACCACACCATCTTGAAAGAGCTTCTTGAAGACCTCGCCAATCTACACGAACAAGTGATTAATCAATCATTAGAGGAGTTCCTTTCCAATATCCTGGAAATTTACCCTACACCGAATCAAAGCACATGTTTATGCAAAAAAAATTGCGACAGATAGACTGCCATGGAAGGCTTCTCTTTTGCCAGAAACAGAATTAAGAATTGACATGAATTGAGGTGTAGCTTACCTCCTTCTCGTTGTTATAAGCCCGAGCACAATCGATATGGCGGTAACCAATCTGCATTAAAGAAAAATAAAACAAAATTTAGCAGGAACGGTAGAGTTTTGGGGACCTGAACTTTTGGGTGTAGGAGTGGGTGATGACCTTGATGGCGGCCTCGACGGCGGCACCGACAACGCCGGGTTCAGCCTGCCAAGTGCCGAGACCCACCGACGGCATCTTAGCTCCGGTGCTCAATTGGAAGAATCCGATGTCCTTGGCCATTTCTCTTCCGCCGGAAAGGAGACAGTTGAGTTGAGTTGAGTTGAGCTGAGCAGCTTTGGGAAAATTGCAGGCTGGCTCTGGACTACTACTAAGTGAATGTGAATCGCTCGCTCGCGTATTTGACTGAGTATGAGCGAGACTAGAAGACAGTGTGCAGTCCAATTAGTCTCACTCACCCACTCGCTCTCGGACGGCAGAGTGGTCGTATTTAATTAGTCTTAATCAATAATAGTCCTCAACTGCGGCAAGGCTGATGATTGAGTGGTACGGTCCGCAGTGGGACGGTCCGGCTGACGACCATGGAAAACGACAACCAACCGACGCTTCCACTTTAGTTTTGGATATATATATGTAGTGGACGCAGAACGGATCATCTCTCGCCGTCCTATGGAAAAAATCTCAGAATACACCAATTATTAAAAAAAATTACCAAAATACAGTACTTATAAAAGTATTTCCTAAAGTACAGCAGTTTCAACATCACTGTCTTTGTCTAAGACAGTGATGTTGATCACCGTTTTGGTCTAAAACGATGATACATCACCGCTTTTGACAAAAGCAGTGATGTTATCACCGCTTTAAACCAAAGCAGTGATGCCATCACCGCTGTCAAGGACGACAGTGATGGCAAGACCGTTGATGTGGGAGGCAGTGAAGCCTTCACCGTTGGATCCAACAGCGGTGAAGTGGCGCGGATCGCTGACGTGGACGCGCGCGGGCACTTCACCGCTGAAGACCAAAGCGGTGATTGCCCCGCTTTCCACGTCAGCGATCCACGCCCCACCCCGCGCCTTCACCGCTGCCGTCGGATGCAGTTATGCGCGGATTGTGGTTTTTCTCCACAATCCGACGCATCAGGTGAACCCATCATCGCCTTAGTCAACAGCGGTGATGGCTAGGTAGCTGTTACCTACCTCTCCACCTACCAGGGCTGTGTAAAACGTGGGGGCAATCACTGTTGTGGACAGCCGCGGTGATGCCTTCACTGTTGCTGTCTAAAGCGGGGATACGTTCCCCGCCTTTGTCAAAAGCGGGGATACAATCTCCGCCTTGGACAAAAGCGGGGAACCTATCACCGCTTTTGACCACAGCGATGATGCGTTCCCCGCTTTCGTCCAAGGCGGTGATGCGTTCCCCGCTGCTTCACTGCTTTGGACAAAAGCGGTGATCAATATCACTGTCTTTGTCTAAGACAGTGATGTTGAAACTGCTGTATTTTGGGAATTACTTTTATAAGTACTGTATTTAGGGAATTTTTTTTAATAACTCGAGTATTCTGGGATTTTTTCCCCGTCCTATCCAAGCCAAGCAACGCAATTTGTTTTACATGCACAAGCAGTTATTCTATGGTAAATACAATATATTAGCCACAATTTCTTATGTGTTCAAATTATTACACAACTATTGAAATACATATTATTATTATTAGCAAACTGTTAATTTTATGTTAAATTTTTTTTCAAAAGATAGTGAGTTAGCATATATTATGTTGAGGTGGAAGAAACATTCCGATGTGACAGTCGACAAAAAAATGTCGGTCAACCATAGCAACTTAGTTAATAATTAATTAATTTTTAAAATTAAAACAAAAATAATAGTAGGTCTTTTCTTCTTCCCCACCATCTTCTCTTCTTCTTCTCCCCTTCCTCTCTATGCAATTCCCCCACAATTTACACATCAGACCGCTGCAATCGGTGATCACTTGAGGACAAAGATCGCTGGTGGGATCTTCAGAGTAGAGGCCGCGATCTTGAAACGTTGTCGTACTGACCTTTGGGATTGAGGAGATCGTTGGCTGATTCGCGATCCGCGATCTTCCTCGCGGTCAAAATGCATTGTGGCTATGATTCGACTGGGGAAACTCTCTGTTTCTCCTCGGCTCCTTCTTTACGAAATTCACGTCCTGAGCCCTCCTAGTTGCAGCCGCGATCTTGGGCTTCCAAGCCGCAATCTTCAACTTGTCTTCGCGGTCCTGGATCTCGGCCATGATATTTACTTCTGTGTCACGATCTTCAGTCTTTTGTCCCCTTGCTCCACTTGTGACCTTGTTTTGTACCTAATTCACATATATTGTCTAACACACCTTAAAATCACATCGAATTCAAATAAGAATGGAATAGGGATGCAATTGATGACGTTTAAGCATTTATGCATGAATTGACACGAAATAAACCTCAATATGAAGGATAAATAACACCAATTTAGGTATTATCAAACTCCCCCACACTTAGTTGTTTGCTTGTCTTCAAGCAAACCTACTCAAACTTAATGCAACATTATAGACAAATCAACGGGGAATGCACTCTAGTTCTTCATTGCATAAAGAAGAGTAGACGGAAATGAATGAACGTTGCTATATCTTACTGTGAAAGCACAAACTCTCGGGTGAGGACCATACCTACTACCTTAGACCGAACATTCAAGGTGTGCTCCGGGGGATTCTCTAACACAAATTAGCACAAGAACTCTCGAATGTGCTTGTTATTCTCTCTTTAGATTTAGGAGTTGTCGTTTATTGGTCTCCTTTTTCAACGTTGACATGCATTGCACCACTTTAGCAATTCTTTTGCAAACAAACATCTCTCCCTCATGACTAAGAGCGGATGAATCATAGCATTCTCTTTCAAGGTCACATGTGGTGAAGTTGATGGGCGGATTCATCTTAGCCCGAGCTCCACTTCCCAGCCTGCCCTCCACATTGGTTTGCCACACATGTTGGGTACAAACGAGAGCTATGAGGTCTCATGAATTGCTAAAAGGTACTTTGGACCTTAGCATACGATTCCGTGAGCAGGAAAGATGCATGGAGGATGGTAAATAGTGAACGATGGTTGGGATGCAATAAAAATATCCGATCCCCATGCATATCCTCAAAGGGCACTCCGAATCCGTGAGAATTGGTTGCCTCTCACGTGAGTCTCATTTTCCTAATATTTTCTCTCTTTTCTTTCTTTTCTAATGCATACAAAGTCTTTTAAAATCTTCGAGTTCAAAAATCAAACAAATAAAGAATCCCGCACACATGTTCTTCCTAAAATAACACATATTCTCGACTCACAAAAGATGAAGAAGATAGTAAAACCCCTCATACAGCAGTACTCTAATCATGCAACTATCACCTAGCAGGCATAACACATCAATCATCTAACAAATCAAAGCATATCGAGTAGGGTGTTGCAAGGAACAAGTTGTTTTGGAATACTCAGATTAAAAAACTCAGATTAAAAAAACTTGGGTATAGCATTCAAGGTTTCAAAACACTATCATTTGACCATTGATCACCACAACAAAACCACAATTGCTAGCACACTCTCCCATAACTATTCATCAACGTCTTACATTCATAAATAAGGGAAGAAGATACCTTAGAGGACTACTCCATAAATGAGCGAAGAAAATACATAGAAGAAATTGAAGGAGACTTAAGGTTGAGTAAGATGTCTCCTCTCTTTTAACTCCTTCTCCTTGTTCTCCTCTTTTCCTTCCTTCAGCTTCCCTCTCTTCTCTCTCTCTCTCTCTAAAATCAAAAAAATTTCTCTCAAAATCATCTCATCTAAAAGGGGGAAAGGGATCTCCTATTTATAGGCAATTAGAGAACGGACAAGTTTGCGTTCAGAAAGGCAGAGATCATGGGCGGGATCTTCAGAGGAGAGGCCGCGATCTTGAAACACAATCGTACTGGCCTTCGGGATTGATGAGATCACTGGCTGACTTCGCAGTTGCTATCCGCGATTCGGGACCACAATCTTTGTCGCGGTCTAAATGCACTGTGGTCATGATTCGACTGGGGAAACTCGTTGTTTCTCCTCGCCTCCTTCTTCGTGAAATTCGCGCCTTGAGCCCTCCAAGTCACGACCACGATCTTCGGCTTCCAAGCCGCGATCTTCAGCTTGTTTTCGCGGTCCAGGATCTCGGCTATGATCTTTACTTCTAGGCCACGATCTTCGGTCTTCAGCCCCCTTGCTACACTTGTGACCTTGTTTTGTACCTAATTCGAATATATCGTCTAACACACCTTAAAATCACATCGAATTCAAATAGGAACGGAATAGGGATGCAATTGACAATGTTTAAGCATTTATGCACATCAATTGGCACAAAACAAAACTTAATATGAAGGGTAAATAACAACAATTTAGGTGTTATCAATAAGCTTCTAGGGGATGGCATGAGATGCGGAATTGAGGAGAATTAACAACTATATATCTCTCTCTTCGATTGGCTACTCTAGATCTACATTGGTTCACTACGTAGGAAACTCACAGACGAAAAAACCCCACTAGTGAGAGTGACTAGGTCGACGTGAAATTCAGTATTTGAGGGAGTGGATCTGGGAAGTCATCGCCGGAGGGACGGAGGAAGGGCCGCTAATTTCAATTTGAGGGTTTTATTTTTTTATCTTTTAAATTATAAATCAAAATAATATGATGTGGAAGGCAACGTGGCAATTTCCGTAACGACAGCTAGTTATATTTTGATCGGCTACAATAGTTTTGGCTAATAGTTTGTATTTAGATAATTGTGGCTAATAATTTGAGCCCTTGAAAAGTTGTGACTAATATATTGTATTTACTCGTTTTTTATAATATACACTTTAAGAGGAGTTACAACGTTTAGAGACTGTTCTTTATGATTTTGCAACAATCACTTGTTTGGAAAGGAGACAAACAACTAGAGCTTTGTATTGTCCAAATTTTAAAACCTACACTACTACCCAGATTTCAAAATAGCAAATCTACCCCAACTATTTTAAAAACATTCGTAATATTTTATTCTTTCAAATCCAACCTCATATGAAACTCAAGAATCCCTTCATTATCTTCCCCAACGAGTCCCTTTTTCCTCTCATCTTGCATCTCCAATTGAAACTCATATACCTTCTAATTCCTTTCGATGTATTTCCCTTGATTGCATTGTCCTCCGAGAAGTGTTTTTTTAAATGTCGAGAAAATCCAAATTAGTTACAAAACTAGTAAACATATCATGTTAAAAATCATAAATAGAGTTATAATCTTCTCTTTTTTTTGTTGGCCCCATGATTCAAACACATGGTGTGATGTTCTCATGCAAGGATGGACGGAGGATTCGAGTGTCAGAAGGGCAGAGAATAAAAAAATTATAAGTGAAAGTATAACATAAACAAAAAAAATTATTAGTGAAAGTATAACGTAAACAAAAAGAAGTTATAGCGTTTAGGAACAACACCATGGAAAAGTAACAAAA